ATTCACTATAGTAGTCCACACGAAGGTATTGGGACCGTGGAACTCTTTTCGATATGCCTTATTCGGAGAATCTTATGGTATGGTGATGAGGTTGTTTCTAAACGAACATTATGAAGGTTACATTTACGCTATGGAATGTACCTAACTATTTCTCGTTACATAAAAACTGTAGTTCAGAACGTGTTAACAGGTACAACACATTGTCAAACGTCTCTTCACTGTTTGTGTTACTACAACCGTGTATATGGTAAGGGGCGCCCAGCGGGAAGGGGCGCTTCAATATCGTTTGCACCCCTATCCTAGAATACCTTCCGCCGCCACTGAATTTAAGCCGGCTTTTATCCAACCCTGGCATGAATCCATGTTTGTGATAGAGCAGTCTCCGATGGTTCTCGTCTCTCGAGTCATCAGCAGTTCCACGTGAACTGTGGACCATCAGTAGGAGCGTCATCAGAAATGGTGAAACCTCAGTCGATTTACCATTACAATATGTATATCCCGATGTCCGCCGGCCCACCCAGAACTAACGCTGAGTCGCCGTCTGAACCGCCGACTTTTTATATCGGCATCGACAAGTTCCAGACAGGCGGCGTGTAAAGACCGCTTCTGGCTCAGAAAAACCGCTGCGCGTGCGATGAACACTGCCCCGGGGGCACAACCCTTGACCCCGGCGGCCGCTCCTGGCCAGCCGCCGTGGGGGGGGGGGGGGCTGTGTGTGTCGGGGGGGGGGTCTGTTACCGAGTCACTGCCCCGTCACGCAGCCGGAACAGGCGCCGCTCAGGTGCCGCGGTCCGTACCGCCGTGGTGCTCCGGACTCCGCACCGTTCAGTCGTGCGTCGGCCGTCGAACGGGGTAGGTTGGAGTAGACGGAGGTGCAGGGGTGTGATGACGGAACTGGTAGGAAGGAGTCAGCGGCTCGACAGCTATCTGGGTGAGCGGTCAGAACAGGGCAGATTGGTGGGTTATTGGAGCTCGGTATGAGAAAGGTGTCTCTCGGCCGAGGTGTGATTATAGACCGGCGAACATTTTCATTCATATGACTTGATAGCGTCGCTTGTGTTCTAGCTGCTGGTCCATGAGTGATCTTTGTGGAAAGACATATCGCCGAAGTCAATACCGACTTCAAGCAGACACTTATAAGGCCGTACCCTTGTGATGCTCCAATTTGCTTTGTGATATGTTTTGTCATTTGGCATATTTAATTGGCATTTTGTCAAGTTGTCCATATCACCCATTGTTATTTTCAGCATTGTGGTGAGATGCTCTCGGCGAAACTAATGAGTCGCTGAATGTCGTTGGAGACCCGAAGCTATTATTATTATTATTTTACCTTAACCTCAATCTTCTTCAGTTTTTTATTCTTGACTTTGATGTTCAGACTTTTTTTGCTCGTGGCCCTGTGACCTTTTGTGACCTCGACTGCAATCTACCGCCAATGTTTGCACCCATTCCTTTTCTTGTGTGCTTTTGACTGCAATGTGTTATTTGCCACCTGGATAGTGGATATGCAGCGTTTTCCGTCAAATCGTACGTGCTATGTCTGATGTCTCATGCAAACATCAACGCAACCGAAGGCTCCTTTCTCCGTTTTTACGTGCCAGCACTTTGGCCGATGGCTGTCGATAGAGCCACCCCCGTCTTTTAAAGTAGCTCCCGTCTTGTCACGGACCGTGCCGCCGTGCTCGTTATGATAGCTCACGCGTGTCTGTGATAAGTCAGAGGATGGGGCAGACCGACCCACTGGAACGAACGGGTGGAGAGAGGTCATGGGGGGGGGGTATAAAGACAGACACTTTAGGGTCGTTCGCCGCCACGGCCACGTCACGCCACGACCTGGCCCTTTTTGTTACTGCAAACTGCACAGTCTCGCCCTCACCGCCCACCGTCCCACCGCCCACCGCCCATTGCACTCTCACCCGCCCCTCGATTGGCAGCTTTCCCTTACGTGCCGTGGCTGAGGCCGTTCACCCCGCCGTCTTGCATGGAAGCTATGATTAAGCTCAGCCCTTGCATGATAAATATGCACTGTGCACTGAGCCCTGTACCAAACAGGGTGCGCTAATTACCAGCTGGTGACGATACTTTAACCGCCGTGGGTCACAGTCCCACTGGTGACGATACTTTGGGTCACAGTCACAGCTTTGGGGGTCATAGTCCCACTACTCTCGGCTTTCTCCCCAATATGCGAGTGTGAGGGCGGAGTTTTAGTTGGCAATCGAACCTTTGATTGTTGAAAACCGAATCGGTTTTCTCTGTGGAACACGTTTGCAAAGGCAACTTTTCATCCAGTTACATATTCGTGTATGTACAGTTTACTGGGAAGGTGTCAAGCAAGAACAGTGGAACCCAAACACAATACAGTTGTAAGTACCCACAACGGTGTTTGAACGTTGTGAACTCACTCCCAACATGCATTTCGAGTTTGTCGGCATCCTGCTAAGCCCATTCGCGCGGTGGTCTGTAGCCGAGTAGGTGCCGAGATCCGGCTCCGATAACGCCCAGGGCTGACCCGGCGCGCTGTGCTATCACGTTTAGGTGGTGGTAGCACCGGGGTGACACGAGCGAACGGATGGGGAACGTGCCTGTGGGCACAGCGTGCAGCGGCTGTGCCGACTGCTGGTGGATTCGGGGGTGGGTGCTATGTTTGATGTCGTGTTTGTTTGCTTGTTTGCTCGTGTTTTTTGGTGTTTGTTGTGTTGTTTGTTGCGGTGTTTGTTGCGGTGTTTGCTGGTGTAGTGTTTGTCAATGCATTGTTTGGTATTCGTTGGTGTGCTGTGGTGTTTGCTGATCCCTTTTTACAAATCGCTTAAAGGTAGTGTGCCACCTTTGAAAGATTTCCCGTTTTATTTTTCCTAGGATAAGAACCTTCTGTTTTTACCTAATATCGCAAAAAAAAATCAAAAATGGGCCTGGAATAGTGCCTTTTTCGCCTAAAAGTTTATCGGTTTTTAGATATGTATAACAACTGTAGTGGGCTCACCTGCAAACAGGCGTCGGGCAACAATCGCGAATGCGGCGCACTTGTGACAATAAGCAAAGGTCATTATAGTGTTACGACCATACGACGTACGGGAATGAGTTATCAGCTGTCTAATCGTAGACAACACAATGTCGAGCCTTAAACTGTAAGCCTGTATTGGTATTGTTTCTTAAATTTGGCTGTCGAACATTAATTTGTGGTTTGAAATATGATTTTATGTAAAATAATTGATATGAAACAGCCGTCTCTTAAGTTATGATCCCATTACACCACACGCAAGTGGCAGAAATGACAATGATCAGCTGACGCATTTTTCTTGGCCGAAGTCAGAGCGCGCGGCCCGACGCACCACGCGTATTTGGAAATTCCGACCTCGACGAGCATCAGAAGCCACCTAACAGGCGTGTTCGAAACCGCAGGAGATGATGATGAACGGGTTTATCGAAACTTGATTGGATGAGCCTATCGGTAATAGCGATTTTAGTGTGTGCATTTATTGTTCATAGTGGTGTGAAATGTGGTTGGGGTACGACCGACAACCCGTCGGGGCGAATTTCGCACTGGGGTACTCAAAATTTGAAGAATTTAAGACGTTTCCATAAGTTTTGAAGGTATGGATAGGTTCTAAAAATCCGGTTCTCCTTATCCGGGTCATTAACTCCATATGGTCCAGGAAAGCTGGCACACTACCTTTAAATATCATGCAAATGTGCAGTGCTGTGAAATGCAGTGTGGGCCGTCCTAACGCAGTGTGGTGTAGCTTAGTGTATCGTAAGTGCGGGGAAGTGCAGTGTAATCAATAGCGTACCGTCAACGGTGCCATCCGCGGCCCTTCCTTTCCACCCCGTGTCGATCTCGTATTCCGCTTGCTCCCTGTCCGCCCCGCGTCTAGTCTTATTCCGCTCTCTCCCGTTCCGCCCCGCGTTCATGTCCTATTCCAGTCCTTCCTTTTCGCCCCGTGTCGGTGTCGTATTCTTGCCCTCGCCATGGCACCGGGCGTCGGCCGTACGACAGACTGACCGGTGACGTCATCAGCGGCCAATGGGCGCGCGGTATCGAGCCGTGTGCGCCCGGAGGTAATGTGTCTGTGTACGGTGTCGTCGGAGTGGGCGCTAGTGTCCTCAAGTAGCTGCAGCGGGTTAGGATGCGGCTGTGCCCTCAACTGCTAGCTGTGTCGCTCGGCACCCACCTAGTCAAGGAGGAGACTCTTCATCCTTTCTCAGCTAACCCTTATCCGTCGTTCCCCTCATTAGCTACCCGGACGAAATGTGAATAAGTCTCATCTCTCTGGGTGTTCACAGCGTTTTTCTCCGTCTCTTGGCGTCCGCAGTGTCAGGCAGATCACCCTCCTCAGAGTCTCCAGGTGTCGATGAGCTAATCCCCACCGTCTCTCTAAAGCATAGTGTCTGTCAGCTAACCCTCCCCGTCTCTCGGGCCTCTCAGCTGACCCTGCCTTGTCTCTCTTTGCTGCACTGTCTCGCAACTGACCCCGTGTCTCTGTTGTCAGTGTCTGCGATGGACCAGTACCTGGAGCCGATAGGCGCTAACTCTCCTAATGTCTCTGTTCCCGCAGTGTCTGCGATGGACCAGTACCTGGAGCCGATAGGCGCTAACTCTCCTAATGTGTCTGTTCCCGCAGTGTCTGCGATGGATCAGTACCTGGAGCCGATAGGTGGCGCTAACTCTCCTAATGTCTCTGTTCCCGCAGTGTCTGCGATGGACCAGTGCCTGGAGCCGATAGGCGCTAACTCTCCTAATGTCTCTGTTCCCGCAGTGTCTGCGATGGACCAGTACCTGGAGCCGATAGGTGGCGCTGGCGGCGCGGTGGCGCTGACCCCGTGTCTCTGTTCCCGCAGTGTCAGCGATGGACCAGTACCTGGAGCCGATAGGTGGCGCTGGCGGCGCGGTGGCGCTGACCCCGTGTCTCTGTTCCCGCAGTGTCTGCGATGGACCAGTACCTGGAGCCGATAGGTGGCGCTGGCGGCGCGGTGGCGCTCACCGCGTGTCTCTGTTCCCGCAGTGTCTGCGATGGACCAGTACCTGGAGCCGATAGGCGGCGCTGGCGGCGCGGTGGCGCTCACCGCCGTGGCCGCCGCCGCCACCTACTACTACTCGCGTCAGCCCGTTCCCGTGACACCGCTGGTCGACCTCGAACAGCAGACTGTCGAGGAGGTGAGAGGGGGAAAGGAGAGGGAGGAGAGAGAGAGGGGGGAGAGGGATCCAGAACGGGAAGGGAGAAGGGAGAGTCGGGACACCGAGAGGCAGTTGCTGGGAGGGCAGGTCGGAGGTGCTGACAGTTTGGTTTGGACTCGCTTTTATTTGCTGTTTTTAAAAGCTTACAAGGATGTAAATGAATGAGTTTCTTTTCTTTTTATGATTTAAAGTCAGTTCAAATGCAGACACAGAAATTCACAGTTCAATTCAAATACAGAAATGGTAGTGATGAGCGGCAGATAAATGAGAGTACCACCGCATCTTTGATGAATTAGCTGTTAAAAACATAGTCCGTCACCCAGCAGTGGCTAGACCTCTGTGTCCCGGAGCACCCATTTCATCTCCGCCCGCTGTTCCCCAGTTCGAGACTCCGCCGAACCACCAGGGCAGTGACCCAGCTCCGGTACGTTATATCGTGTGTGATACCCTCGGAGCATGAGGGGTGCCTCTGGTGGCTCTGGTACCCGCTGACACGGGCTACCGGCGCGCGGGGGCGTAGAGCGGTAGCGGGCGGTTCGAACGGGCTGAAATGCTGCCTGGGCAGTGCGGGTTTGACTGCTGGTGGGCTGGTGAAGCTTGGTTGGAGTGGGTTTGGGCTTGTCACCCTGGTGAGCAGACGGACGTTCCAGGTGCTGATTTTGGTAGTGACCATTGACTTCCAGTTAGCTGAGTAGCTTGGTCGACATAGTTACACATTAGTGAGGTACTAACAACTAACTGGTATGAGCAGCTCGTACAGTCATCACACGCACTGGGTGACAGTTGCTTGGGCTTCCGCCGCCGTAGGCTAGAGCATGGGAAGGTTAAATACACCGTGGTTGGTAGTGGAAACTAACTTCTAGACGAGCTTTTAGTGGGAAGATTAACATTTGATACGGACATTCGTGATACGTGATACGTAAAAGTGTCGTTCAGTTACATGTGTTCCTTGAAGGATTTTAGAAAGGTTGGTCTTAGGTTTGTCCTTCAAAGTTTGTTCAAATAAGACGATGCAGAAACATCATTGTGCAAATTGGAACAAGCTCCATGATCCATGGTCTCAAATTCACATTCTCCAGCTCCATGCTTTCAAAGCCGGTTGGAGCTTGCCGTCTGATGCCGAGGCTAAGAGACTGGCCTTCCTCTAATTTGGCAGAGTGGGTTATGTCCAAATGTTATGTCCACTGTCTGTCCGTCCAGCCACACCCCACACTGGAGCCGCCAAGTGTCTTACAAGATGATAGGCAGTGTTGTGGCTGATAGGGCGGGAAAACGGTGGATGGCTTGTAGTGCTGCATTCTGCAGACTGAAGGCATGGAATTTGGCTGGAGAGAGACGCGAATCGTTGCTAGGATCAACTGCAAAGCTCGCGGATCATCCAGCCTTATTATCGTGAAGGTGGCGAGCGCCTTGGTCTCTCAATGAAAGGGCAGACATCAGGACGATATGAGCTAGCTCCCACACGGCCACAACATACATACATGCACCATGTTTCTTAGTCTCGCCCTGTTTTTGCGATCGGCGTCTTTTTACCTCCTCACAAAACCAGTCACAAAAACTACGTTGCGGCCCCTCCAACTAGTAAAGTAATCTTGCCTCCCACTCACGCCGCCGCCGACTGACGTAGTTACACGTGTGTATGGATGACGTCACCACTGACGTCACCGGACGGGGGCGTGATTCAGAGCGGCGCCTTTGTATTGGTCCAGGTCGTGTGAATGAAAGGACGAAGGGGGCGGGGGCTGCAGGGCGAGCGGCCGATGCGTAATGACTGGTAGGCAAGAGAAGACATGCGACCGAACATTCGGAACATATTGGGAAAGTGGCGCATTTTTCAGATGTAATTACCGCACATACTTTACCATTATCACAAAAAAATTATCTTTCAGTCAGTGCTCCGCTGCTAAGATCAAGTATGTATGAAAACATTTGTTTGGTTTCATTAAAACTTTTTTCCTGCTTTTGCGATGACAGGAATTTTTAGCTTGTAAGATATGCATCTTGAATTGCTCTCATGGTTATTTGTTTGCGGCCGTTTACCAATGTGAAATGGCATTAAGGTCTTCCCCGTTTTCCGGGCATAGGGTACGCTGTTCAGTGTACAATGTACACGGGCCACATTTGGACAGTATGGGGATACCACCGTCTTTTGTTTGTGAATGCGTGAGTAACTAGTGAGGTCACCCGGGGACATACCCGCCATCTGGTTGGCTTGTCGATTTCTGCGTCAGCGTCAATAACATATGATCATACACCGAGCAAACATGCGCTGTTACCCCGTCTCATATGGAAGACCACCAAGCTGCGCACTGAAGCAATGAATGTCGCAGTTATCTTCCACAGGTCATTTTGAGCATGTTTTGCTCTAGAAGCTGGTGAGGTTTATCAAATTGCATTTGGTATGGACAAATATGTGCCCTGTGGTAGTCCGTCGAAAATATCATTCGGCGGATTACGTCGCTGCTCGAAAGCGCAGCATATTTCGTTTGATACTTTACACGGTTTTCGACAGCACCACATCCTCCCACCGACTGGGTGGAGCTGCTCCACCCAATCCAGTCGGTGGCAGTCCCCGGAGAGGTATTGACAGACTGACAGGCTGCCAGCTGACTCCACCGTTCGATTCGGGCCCTGTCCGGCCCTGTCAGCCGTGTCAGCGCGCACGTGACTGACGAGCCAGTGGCTCACGTGCGGCGACACGTGAACAGCACACGTGGCGTCAGGGGATGGGCTCAGGCCACGGGGAGGTCCACTTGTTGAGCCCTCCATGCTGGGCCTATGATGTGGCAGTCGAGTCACAACTTGGTGTCAGTGGTGTGCCTGCGTTTCCGTTGTCCTTAGGCAGTGCTCGACGCTCGTAGTAGGCAACGGAAGACTACTTCGGAATGATGCGGTTTGGAGAAGACGGCTTGGGTCTCTTCCAATTCTTTCGTTTCTTTTTCTAGTATCTTGAGATACATCCGTTTTCTTTCATTTTCGTGCGATTTTCAAGGATCTCCTGCTGGGTTGGACCGCCTTGGTTGGACCTCACATGGTTCCTCTTTGAGCTGGATTGGTCGGTGTGTTACCCCCAAACCATCTGCATACCGCAGTCGGTCGCCGTCTCGGCCACAGCTGCCGGATCTGACACCACCGGGGCCGGTCACGTGACCACCGCCCGCGGCCAACTGGGCCGTCACACCGGTCACGTGACGGGGGATCCGTCACGCACCTGTCACGGCCACTCGGCTGAGGATGGCCTCCGGAGCAGACACGGCCATCCACAACTCGGCGGATACTTTTGGCAGGGAGGTGTTACACTAACCCACTCATCAGTGTCCGCTCTGGTAATCTAGCTCTGAAGCGCTCAGGCGCCGCATTAGATACCACCCGCTGTGACATCCAGGGGCCGTCTGAGGTCCTGTGATGAACGCCTAGGATTGCCCTGCCAAGGACCGGGACGTTGGCCGCTGTGGGTCACGACGGCGGCACCCTGACGCGTGCTGGCAGAAGGCCGTGGTGGCCTGCTCTGTGAGGCGCTGGGGCCGCTACTGAGGGTCGGGGACCGGGGTACATACATGACAGAAGCTGCTGACGGGGCCAAGCACGGGGTCAGGGCGACGCTGAGGTCCTGGCGGGCAGCGACATCAGCGATGGACGGCGTCCTTGATCCGCTGGGCGGTGGCCCAGGCTCCCTCGGTCGACGTCTGGCGTCCCATGTCACTGGCCCACGGCGAGGCCGGGCTCGTCACCTGGCGTCAGACTTTGGTGTGTTTGTGTTGTGACCCATATCACCGGTCATCATTGGGGCCAGGTGCTTCAAAACATGGGACGAATGGAATGCTAGAAGGACAACGTGCGTGTCAGAAGCCCCGAAGGAACAGGGGTGAAGCTCCACCTTCCGACCATGCACTGGTATAATGGCATCCCGCATTCAACTCATGGCACTAAAGGGGTGCCAGACTGAAGAGCAAGCCGTAAACCACAATCGTCTTTGCTGGGTCCGTTGAGACTTCATGGGAAATGCACGCGCCCTTCAGGACATGTCCCCACCCCACTTCCCCTGCGCCCGTGTCTCCCTGGCCCCCGCCCGTCTCTGCCCCTATCTCCACCGTTCCGTTTACGTCCACCTGCCTCCGTGTCTCCCCTGGGTTCCGCACATATCTCCGCCATTCCGCCCATGTCTCCTCGGTTCCGCCCGTCTCCGCCCATGTCTGTTCCGCCCGGTTCCGCCGCCGTCCGGCCGGATTCGGCAGTGGTCGATACTGCAGACCCCCGCCGGGTCCGGGATGTGTCTCACAGCCGGCGATTGTGACGCTGTGACGGTGCACCGTGTTTTAACGCTGGCCAAAAACTGGCCAGGACGTGAAATATCGACTATTTTTAAACGTATTCATTTGGCCACTATCGTGTTCAGAAATGATCAGAGCATCTTTAACGACGGAAACTTTTATTCTCTTTACTTTTGAAAACGTTGAAAATGTACAACAAAGTCAGACAACTTTCAAAAGCTAAACTTCGGCAAACAAACGCAGAAACAGTCACCTTGCTTCACGTCAACATCTTCGAGCTTTGGATTGACAAAACTATATAATTTGGGTACCAAACGATAGCGCGAACTTTTGGCTTTGTAATGAGTCATAATTTATGCAATTATAATGCACATAGGTGTTACATTTATTGATTTCCGTCAGCCCTTACATTGACACACTTTTTTGAAAAAATGTCAATGTTCTTATAGAGCTACAAAAAATTGTACGCTAGTGTACGGTCTCAGACTACCACCACACTGTGGGTCAAGGAGTTGTCTACATGTCCTCAAAATTTCAGCTGCGCCTGAGTGCGCCGGTGTTGGGGGTGAACACTTTTTTGAATGAGTCATGGCTGCTCCTGCTGAGCCATGGGACGGGCCCTAGCGTGCGTTAAGGGAAAATGCTAGTACTCCTCGTTCATTCTCTCGTCTGTTGTGACGAGTTGGTGGCCCATGGAAGGTCGCCGACCTGTGTGCGACCTGCCGTACCCTGGGGCGTAATCAGCTGACGGCACGACCCCCACGACACGTGCCAGTTGCATGTTCATGTGTCGCGAGAAGAAAACAAAGGGTCTCGGAACCGGAGACCGGACAATGTCGGTGAATGACAGTTGTTCATTCAAAAACTGTAGCATTCCTATGAAATATACATTTCTTAAATATCAACAGCATTATCGGTGTAATTAATTATGTATAGTACCTGGTCTATAACAGGAAATTTCCACCCCATGGCTATTGCAGCAAATTCATAGTTTTAAATATATTTTAATACCTGATGGAGCGCAATTAAATATTCATTGTGCCCACTGCCCAGTTTGTGATGGGACTGTGAACTGAAAGGTGACTGTATGAGACATGCCACAGCACGCATCGCTGATCACGATGATCGGCTTTTGATCGTCCATCACCTGTTT